AATGTCTGGTGGCTGGGCTTTGATCCCACAGGGGAGACGACATCAGTATGAGGATAGGAGGATTTCACTGGGGTGAATGGTGAAGGGATAAGTTAATTGGAGTGTGAGATACAGGGTTTAAGATTTCTGTACAGGGGGGTCTGAAGAGGTAAGATGGAGGAATTGGGGCGTGCCCTTCTCCTTCTTCTTCTTTTTCTTGGCCTCCATCTTCTGTGGTGATGTTGGCACTTTGGGATTGGTCTTTACCACAAGTGCCCTGGTTAATAAGGGTAGAGGGTATTGGAGAAAAATGATAAATATTGTATACGTAACTCCGAGTATAAAGATAAGTGGCTGCCCCGGGGGCTCTCAGTGTGTGCCCATGGCTGACTGCTGAGCAGAACTCTGTCAGGCCAAGAGAAAATCTTTTAGATAAGCATTTAATAAACACCGAGACCAAGAAAAGATCTGAAGTCCCTTCTCGTCCTTTGGAGTGCGGGCGGCCCAAGGCCACCTCGGGCCTTCCCAGACCATCTAAACAGCCGAAAATCCGACAGTCCCTGTACTCTGGGAAAACGTTCTACCCTTACTCCAAACATCACCCTGTTACATAATTGAAAAAAAGAAAAAGAATCAAAACGTGAAAAAAGGTCCTACACTGAATTTGATGAAAATTGTGATCTGAGATTGTACGATTGGAACAGACCAAAAAAGATTGCTACCTCTCTGTTTTTACCCTGGGTAGCTGCAGCTAAAGCCCTCGGTGAAATCAATCACCTTGGGTGCTTGCTCAGTAAACAAGCTAATGCCACATCAGCAGCCCTGAGTGATCTCTTAAAGGAAGAAGAAACCACAAGACAAGCTTCACTCCAAAACCGAGCAGCAATAGACTTCCTGCTGCCTGCCCAGGGACATGGATGTGAGGACTTCGAAGGAATGTGCTGCTTCAACCTCTCTTCGCGTTCGGAGTCCATCCATGCGAACATCCAGAAACTGAAAGATCTCGTGAAGGACTTGAAAGTAGAAAGAATCCCAGATTGAGTCAATGAACTTTTCGGGCAATGGGGACTAACAGGATGGACTGCATCTTTGGTCAAGGGATTGTTGTTGATCCTCCTTGTAATTGTCATTGTGTTAGCTATGTTCTTGTGTCTTGTTCACTGTTTCAAAAGAACTATAGCGAATGCATTTTTTGTAAAAACAGAAAGTGGAGTTGTAGTAAACCACTCAGGTTTAGCCAGGGCCCCTTGGAGAATAGAATGCTGACACAGCAGCAAAGAAGTTTCCTGTCCCCAGGGACATCCGCCTCGTATCCTATCCCTATACCATGTAAGGCAATATTGTGTTAACCCTGCTATTGGTCACTTATGGTCACTCTAACACCTTTGCCATTGGTCAGGATTGGATCTGGGCCAAGGGTATAAAAGTAGCATACTGTACCCCTACTAACTCGGAAGAAGAAGAGCTGAGACCCTTCACGGAACCCCTGTAATAAAGCCATACATGTGGAACAGCCAGCGTCTTCTGCTTCTCCTCTCTCTACCGTCTGCTGGAGCCTTAGGCTAAGGGAAAAAGCTACCTAGCATGCAAAGAGCTTGAAATCATAAGAGCTGCCTAATCACTAAGAGCTGAATATTCCCTGCTTGCTAGGGGCTGTCCTGCGGCCTTGGTCTGAGAGCAAGCTGGCCTCTGGCACTCAGTCCCCCTGGGAGCTGAGCTCTGGAGCTGTAATAGCGTGCATAGGATAAGACGAAGCAAGGCTCATTTATATGAGGATGTTAAACAATCATCTTCAGGTTTTAGACAAGTTTCCCAGTGAGAAGAATCAGGGGGAAGATCATCTTGCAAAATGTCTTTTAGAAGCTCCTGCAGAAATCTTGTTGTGTTTGGGGCTGGGATTTGGGGGTGATTTGGGGTTTTCTGGCAAGATAACATTAGAGCTGATGCACTTGCTTCACATTTCCAGGTCATCCTCACAGCCAGATGAGCTGCAACAACATAAATCCCAAAGAAAATTGTTGCTGGAGACTGAAGAATATTCTTGTGTGTGGAGGCTGGAGTCCTCTGGGAATTCCCTTCCCATGTGCAGAAACCTCCAGCTGCTGCTCCCAGTGCAGGGTCCCTCTGTGCTCACAGGCCTCTGCAGCCACTGGAGAATTTGCCTCTTACCATGGCCGCCGTTTCCCTGAAGTAAGGAGGTTCTCCTTCCACCATCTTGATGGTCACAATGCCAAAGGCCCAGATGTCCACCTTGGAGCCATAAGGAGATCTGGTCACAACTTCTGGGGCCATCCAGTGAGCAGTGCCCACCATGGAGCTGCGCTGGTCCTGCTCAGGGCTGAGCTGAGTGCAGAGGCCAAAACCAGCTGAGGACAGAAACAAACCCTGTCAAAGGCAGCTGGAATGAGGAAACCAAGCACCAAGATTCCCCACTCTCACTCTGAGAGTGCAGTAGTGAAGTCAGCTGGAAAAGCCCTCAGGGCTGTAGCCAAGGAAAGATGGAACTGGACCCTTCAAGAAACCCTCAGCTTTCATGCAGTGGCTTTTACTGATTCCCTTGGAGCTTTAGATTCCCACTGCTGCCCCTCTGGCAGGGCCATAGGCAGAGCAAAGGCACTGCTGGCACCCTGCTCCTCTGCTGAGCTCTCTGCAGGGGCAGCCGCTCTCAGCTGGCAGCAGGGGCCGGGCAGTGCCCCCAGCAGCCCTTGTGGGGCTCTGGCCCTCCCTGGGAAGCAGCCCCACACCCGCAGCCCGGGAGCGCCGTGCCTGGCCAGGAACACCCACCCAGCCTGACAGAGCCGTCCATGCCCAGGAGGATGTTGGAGCTCTTCAGATCCCTGTGGATCACCCGCTTGGAATGGAGGAAATCCAGGCCCTGCAGACACTGAGAGAGAACAATGTGGTAAATAGGTGTGATTCATGCTGATAAAATTGAAACAGTAATCAATATTGATACAGTAATTAATTTTTGGAAATAATAAAACAGATAAAAGTTGTAATGGCAAAGAAGAAAGGGAGAGGAGGGGTTCCATCCCCCCTCCTGGCAGATGTTCAAGGATAGAAGGAAAAGCAAGAGATAACAGTTACTAAAAATTAACAGAAAGGAAAATCTGATTGGGTCCCAGGAAAATGCTAGTTATAAGAGATTTATTCCTTTGGTGCTTAAATATAATATTATGTTCGTTTTGGCTTACATTATACTGGCTTGGTGCGCACGTCTAACCCAAGGGTGAATGAAAGGACATCGAGGAAGAGGAGAGGCCTTCATCAGTGACAACCCCCAAAGACGTGTGCGACCACCAAACTGAGTGGTGGAGCATGCACGGTAAAGGTGGTGATGAGGGCGGAGGTAAAAATGTGATGAATCGAAAATGGGAGGAGATGGCATTGACACATGACATATAAGGGGGGAATCTTCACTTGGCAAGCTCGTACGTGAGGTGGCAAGGGTCCAAGAGCCCTGCACTCCGTACCCCGTGGTTATCTTTTGCTTATGCGCTATTATTTGAACCAAGTTATCCCTTATTTTTAATCAAATTATATTGTCGATATATATTTTCTAAACTATTCAATTAAAATTGCTGCTATCTCAAACATTGTTTGGTTTTTTTTATGATGGGATAATTGGGCAAACATAACAACAAGAAATACGACGGCAAAAACCAATGGCCCGAATATATCACACAAGAAAGGACAGTTCAGAATTCTGCCAGCAGCAGCTTTGCCATGACAGGTCAGGAGTGCAGTGCACACAAGCTCCAGGCAAACGGTTCAAGGCACAGCTGAGAACAGCAAATCAAATCCAAACCAGACAGAGAGTACCACAACAGCAGGAGAGAGAACAAGAACAGAGCAGAAGTGCAGTGATGCTGGCAGGCCGTTCACTGCAGAGGCTCTTTCTTCAGCTCATAAAACAACACAGAAACAAAGCCCTGAGCATGGAGCCACTCCTGTTCTCACGCCCTGTTTGGAAGGACCATCGTGTCCCAGCCATGGAGTGACAAGCAGGATCCCTCACCTCCCGACTGACAGCTGCCATCTCTCCTTCAGCCATGCGTGTCTGTCTGACAACGTCCTGCAAAGTTCCTCCATCCATGTATTCCATCACCAGCCAGAGATCTCCATCAACAAGGAAGCTGGAAGAGGAAAGCAATGGCATGGAGATGAAAGTGCAGAGCTCAAGTCCCCCATGGAAAAGCCTGGAGTGGAGTTTTGTTTCCAAGTCACTTGTCAGTGAGGACAGAATCAGAATCATCCCCTTCCACCATTCCTTCCAGAACAAGGACACGCGGTTGTCCGGTGGAGCTCCGTGCACCGCTCCATCTCCATCCCCCGTGGGAGGATCCGCGCTGGATAACCCCGGGCGGCCCCCAGGGTGAAAGCCCCCCGGCTTGAGAACACAACTGGCTGGGGGCTCCGCATCTTCCTCGCCCCGCCTGTAGACACCATGATGAAGGCCGGAGCATCCCCGCTACTTTTCTTGTTTCTGGTCCTCTCCTTATGTCCCCCCCTCCTCTTCCTCCCGCCTCTCCCTCCCCGGTTCAATCGCTCCTCCCGCTCCTCGTTCCTCATCCGCCTCCTTCCCCTCTCCTCTCTCACGTCCCCTGCCCCTTCCTCCTCCTCCTCCCGCTCCCCCCAGGCCCAGCCCCCACCCTTTGTCCCCCTCCCTTTGCCCAAATCCGTCCCATCGCCCCCCCCAAACCTCTCCCCACCGCCCCCCAATAAACGTCCCCGGGCCCAACTGGGAAGCTTTATTGGGAGCACTGGGAGCAGGCACTGGGTGGGGGCAGAGCGCCAGCGGGGCTGGGGGGGACACGGGACCCCCCCAAAATCAGCGGAGCGGGGACGGAGCAGGGGGTCCCGGCCGGGCCCGAGCCCACGGGGAGGGGCTGCGGCCGCCGCCGGCTCAGGAGCTCTGTGGGCAGAGAAAAGGGGGTGACACCGGGCTGGGGGCCCCGGCGGGAGCGCACACGCTCCGCCACGGCGGGGACGCCACCCCCGGCACCCGTCCTGACCTTCTTGCGCAGGGAGAAGCCGAGCCCCAGCGCCAGGAAGACGAAGCCTAAGACGAAGCCCCCGATGCCCGTCAGCATCTTGCTGCGGGCAGCGTCCGGCGGCATCTCTGGGGGGTCCACAGGGCTCAGCACCCCCAAAACCTCTCACCGACACCCCGAGCCCCTCCCAGCGCCCTCCCTCTGGCCCCCAGCCCAGCCAGGACCCTCTGAAACCTCCCCCCGATCCCTTTTTGTCCTGCCCAGGAGCCACCAAAGCCCCTCCCGTCCCTCTCAGCATCCCACAGCCCCCTCCCAGGTGCCCCCAGCGCCCCAGGACCCCCAAAGCCTCTCGCAGTCCCTTGGCAGCCCCAGCAGGACTCAGCCAGAGCCCTCCCAGGCTGTGCCCAGCACAACCGAGCTCATGGCAAGCCCCGCTGTCCTATCGCCGATCTCCTTCCAGCTCCTCGGGGCTCACTGCGATCCCTCCCTGTCACACCCAGCACCCCCAAACTCCCTCCCAGTGCCCACCAGGATCCCTCCAACCCCATCCCACCCACCCCAGCATCCCCCAAACCCCTTCCCAGCCCTTGTCCAGCCTCCAGCCCCTCTCCCAGCTCCAGCCCGGCTCTCTCCAGCTCCCTCCCAGTGGCTCCCAGCACAGCCCAGTGGCTCTGCCAGCGCCCCCAGGGGCTCCCCCGTACCCCAGTGCCGCCTCAGAGGCTGCTCCAGGCTGACGTGCTCCACCTGGCAGCTGTAGCTGAGCCCGCGCCGGGGCGGCGTTTCCAGCAGCACCAGCAGCTGGTAGGTCCAGTCCCCGTTGGGGACCACGTCGGTGGCCACCACGTGCTCCGAGAGCTCCTGCTGGCCCTGGAACCACCTGACCTGGATGACAGCAGGGTAGAAATCCATCACGGAGCAGAGCAGGCGGCTGGGGCCGGGCTGGGAGCTCGAGGGGGGCACCAGCGAGATGGACACACTGGGGGCCACTGGGAGAGAGAGCGAGAGAGAGAGCGGGGACACACTGGGATCAGCTGGGGGACACTGGGAGAGAGAGGGGAGAGCTGGGTTGGGCTGGAGAGGGACTGGGAAGGACTGGGAGGGTCTGGGGACGGACTGGGAGGTTCTTGGAATGGATGTGGTGGGAATTGAATGGACTGAGATCAAAAGGAAGGGACTAGGGAGTGACCGGGAATACATTGGGAGCGACTTGGGATGGACTAGGAGGGACTGGGTGGGACTGGGAATTGACTAGCATGGACTGGGAGGGAATGGCAATGGAGTGCGATTGGACTGGGAAGGACTTGGTGGGATTGCGGTGTCCTGAGAGAGGTGGGAGGGGATGGGGGGGCACTGGGATAGAGGCTGGAGGTCTGGGAGTGAACTGGGAATTGACTTGGAGGGCCTGGATGAGGTGGTGAGGGACTGGGAGGGACTGGGAGTAAATGGAAATGGACAGGGAATGGACTGGAGAAATGCGTGGAGATGAGGGGTCCTGGGATTGAGGACGGTGCTCAGGGAAAGAACATGGAATGAACTGGGAATGACCTGAGTAGGAGTGGGAGGGACGGAGTAGGTACTGAGAGGGACTGGGAATGAGTTGGAGGGACTGGGGCAGCACTGGGAGGAACTGGGAATGAAGTGCGCGGCACTGCGAGGCCGAGTCCGGCGCGGGGCACTCGGCGCTGCGGGTCTGCCTAGTAACAGATGAGTAATTTTAAATACGAGTTCTGATTGGCTGAAAAGCGTAAGCTTTACGCGTCGCTGAAATGGACGCGCGGCGGGGGGGCACTGGGAGGGACTGGGGGAGACAAGGGGCCCCGGAGATGGGCACAATAAGGGCTGAAGGCTCTGGGGCGATTCCCAGAGAGGTTTTGAGAGGCTCCAAGGTCATTGGCAGGGCAGGGCCCGAGGGAACAAGCTCTGGCCCGCGCTCACCTTGGCACCTCACGCTGAATGGGCAGAACACCTCGTAGTTGTGCCGGCAGAGCCTGTCCACCTCACCCCGATAAAAGTCCAGCGCAGCCGAGTCATTGTTGGAGCGCTCTGCTTTCGTCTCCCCAGCGGGGGTGAACCCCACAAAGTGCCCCACGTCGCTGTCGAACACGAAGTACTGCACTCGGTTGTAGATTTGCCTCTGCACGTACTTCACCTTCTCCGTGCCGTTAATGAAGTGACACTCGTGTGTTACCATCTCCTGGAACACCCCTGTGTGCGCGGGACACAGCTCTGGGTTGTCACCCCAGCCTCCCCCAGAAGCACCCCCAGAACTCCAGGGACCACCCCGGTGTGGTAGAAAGGGACAGGCGCTGCGGAAGATCTCGCGATGTAATGGAAAGGCAGGACCCTCAGTTTCCCCCTTAGATAAGACCATCTGCTTCCCGTAGATAAGAAACTAACATAGGAAGGTAGCCTCCCTTAACAAAAATACCAGTAATTTTCCATCCCCTACCCAGTAACTGTCCACCCCTTACTAACCATAGATGGTAAAGACAGACCCACGTTGACGTAGAGACCCCTTAGACTATAAAAACCCAAGAGATGAGATAATAAACGCCTTTTGACCGTCCATCACATTGATGTCTGCGTGTGTCATTGGCCCGAGCGGCCCAGGAGAGTTGGGCCGCCGTGCTGATCCTTAGAACCAGGTCGTCTGCCTTGCTCCAGAAGGCAACATTTGGTGCCCGAAACCCGGGAGCCGATCTGCGCCCGGGGAACGGGGATTCTCCTGGAAGAGGACAGCGGCTGCTGGCAGCAGGTCTGACCACAGCGGGAGGGACGCCTCCGGACCAGCGTGGACCATGGAAGCCATTGTGAAGGTCGTAACAGAGATGCATGCACAATGGGGTATAGAATGTAAACTTAGGGATTTAACTCTTGCATTGCCGAGACTGATTAAGCTTGGGGCTATTGAAAGCCCCGTGGACGTCCTACATTCGGACGTGTGGGATAATTGTACAAAAGCCCTGGCGGAGGACACCATGTCCTCGGGCTCAGGGAAAGCCCTAAAATCGTGGGGCAGGGTTGTCCAGGCTTTGCAAAAGGCTCGAGAAGAGCAGGAAACCTGGATAGCCGCGCGAACCTGTTTATTAGCCGTGCCGCAGTTGGGGGTGGGCGCGGCGACACAAACCGCGGAGATGCCTGACCCAGGCAGGCGCGCGGAGGCGCAAACGCCGGATCCCCCTCGGCGAGCGGATTCACCATCGGAGGGGGGGGAACACCCGCGGGCGTTCTGGCAGGGGCTCGCGGAGGAGGCGCGGAACGCGGCCGAATCGGCGGACCCCGTAGGGACCGATAAAAACGCCCCCCCACCATATGCGTTTGAAAATGGCGCCGAACCGCATGGTCAGGGCGGAAAGGAGGAGGTGGGGGGCGGAAGCGCGGTCAGCCCGCTTAACAACGCATGCGCGGGCGAGCAGGGAGACGGGGCGGCCCCCGCGGAGGCGCGGAAGACTAATCAGAGCGCTCAGTTCAAATTAAGTCCTTATAGGGCAATGACCTCCCCCAGCAGGAGGTGGGGGGACCCCAGGGGGAGGGAACGGCCCGACCCCCGCAAGAAGGGGCGGGGTCGGAGCCCGAGGAGAAGGCAGAGCAGCCCAGAAGCGTCTCTTTATTCAACTTCCGGCTCGGACTCGGGCTCGAGCTCCGAGCCCGAGATAGTATCGGAGGATTCCGATCTGGATTCCGGCTTTAACAGAGAGAGAGAAGCGGCACGTAAGGTCACTAGCCACAGCGCTCCCGCATGGGTGAAGGGGTTACCAGAGAAAAACCAAACCCCACTTACAAACTGGCGGAAAATAAAAATGGCTTGCGCGGAATGGACTCCGTCTGCCACCCTAGTGTTCCCGGTCCGTGTGGGGGGGGGCAGGCGGAAACCAAAGGACTTATTCACCAGTCAATCCGAAAGATGTGCAGGCAATTGTTAAAGCGATTGCAGATAAGGCAATTAATTCTGCCATGGTTTGCACACTTATTGACGGCCTTTTTGGTGGGGACGATATGCTTCCCTTCGATATTAAGCAGACGTGTAGAATGATATTCGATGGTGCAGGGATGATCGTATTCAAACAAGAATGGGAGGATAATTGCATGAAACAGCTAGCCTTGGTAACAGGGGCAGACCATCCACTGCACGGTTCCAGCATACAGAGGCTCATGGGCACAGACCCCACTATGATCACCCCCCAGCTACAGGCTGAGGGCCTGCGAGCCCATGAGGTTATGACAACAACCCGTGCTGCCCGAGAAGCCATCCGGGACGCTTCTAAAGTTTAGCCAAACCCTCTCCATGGTCGTCCATAAAACAGGGTGAGAGTGAGAGTTTCACTCAATTTGTGGACAAGCTCCAGGCCGCAATAGATTCCTCTACGTTACCCTCAGAGGCGAAGGGTCCCGTGCTGGCAGACTGCCTACGCCAGCAATGCAACTCAGCCACCAAGGACATTTTAAGGTCACTGCCACAGGGGTCTAATATAGCTGCCATGATCAGACACGTTGCAAAGGAGGAACACCTAGCTCCCATCCAAGCAGCAGTTCACACTGCAATAACCAGTGTGATGGCATGCCTTAAGCGTGGCCAGGCAGGCCACTTGGCAGTAAACTGCCCCCAGCCAAGGCGCCTATCAGCAGCTGCTCCACCACGCCAAGGGGGAGGTAGGGGGCCGTGCTGGGTGTGTGGAAGGAAGGGGCATTTAGCTAAGGAATGCAGATCCAGACCCCAGGGAAACAGGAGAGGGAGGGGGCACCTGGGCTGCATCCAGCCCCCTCCCACCTGGAATATGCAGCGGCCCAGCTACAGCAACCCCCAGTGGGGCAGGGGACCCTCATACCCTATGCCTCCACAGGGAGCAGTCAACTTTGCATCCCCCCCAGCAATTCAATGGCAGAGTTGTGCAGCACCCTCAATACCCTCGCACCCCCCACCGCCACAAGCCGCGCCGGTGTCACAGGAACAGCAGGGGACGGCCCAAAGCGGGATCCCTGGGTGGCCTTGGTCATGCAAATAGGGAAGGAGCCCCTGATGGTGTGGGGGACATGCCGCCTTTACGGCAGCCAGGATCCTCACATCATAGGGTTTCAGTTTTGGGCGGACACGGGATCAGACTGCACAATTTTTCCCCAAGCATATTGGCCCGGACATTGGCAATTCAAAGAAGTCCCCCCAGTGAATGGAGTGGGGGGGCAGTCCCGGGCATGGAAAAGCACCCAGCTGGTGGCTATAACACTTCACACAAAAAAGGGACCAGAACAGACAGTAGCAATCTACCCCTACATTTTGCAAAATTCTCCACCCCTGTTAGGAAGGGATGTTCTCTCCTTGCTAGGATTTCGGATCACAAATTTATCATGAGGGCCACTGCCGTACACCCTCCGCTGCCAATCAAATTGACTTGGAAATCATCAGACCCCGTATGGGTTGAGCAGTGGCCCCTGACAGAGCCTCGAATGGCAGCCTTGCTGGAACTGGTCTATCGAGAACTGCAAAAGGGTCACATAGAACCCTCCACCAGCCCATGGAACACCCCTGTATTCGTGGTCCCCAAAAGGTCTGGAAAAGGCTATCGTCTCGTCCACGATCTGAGAGAAGTGAACAAGACGATCAGACCCATGGGTCCAGTCCAGACACTGCTTCCCGCGAACTCAGCCATCCCCACAGGACAGCCATGTGCAGTATTGGACATCAAGGACTGTTTCTTTTCAATACCCCTGCACCCTGAGGACCGAGAGCGATTCGCCTTTTCCGTGGCATTTCGGAACGGTGAGCGGTCCAACCTTCGCTTCCAATGGAGAGTGCTTCCGCAAGGCCTGGTCGACAGCCCGACCATATGCCAAATCACCGTGGACAAAGCACTGATGCCAGTCCGACACTCTTATCCCACCGCGACCATCATCCAGTACATGGACGACATCCTGGTCGCAGCACCATCGACAAGCCAAGTGGATCACCTGGTGACCACAATCACGGAAACCCTTCAAGCCAACGGCTTCGAGATCGCGAGCGCAAAGATCAAGAGAGGACCCTGCGTGACCTTCCTGGGAGTGGGCATCACAAGCTCCTACGTGACACCCCCCGAGATGAAGATCAACCGAGACATCAAGACGCTCCACGACGTGCAACGCCTGGTGGGATCGCTGCAGTGGCTTCGCAACATCGTCCAGATTCCTCCCGAGGTCATGGACCCTCTGTACGACCTCCTGAAAGGAAAGAACCCCTGGGAACCCAAGGAGCTGACACCGCAAGCAACGAGCTCCCTCGACTTCATCGAAAACCAGATGGCCACTGGCACGCTTGCCAGGTGGAACCCAGCCATGCCACTGGACCTGTACGTCCACTTTACACCGAAGGGGGGAGTGGGAGCACTGGCCCAAGGACTTGCAGAAAAGGCCCGACCGATCCACTGGGTGGTCCTCGGAAGACCCGCTCGTGCATTTTCCCCAGGAATCGAGTGCATCGCTAACCTCATCATGAAAGGCAGGAGACTCGCCCTGAAACACCTAGGGACAGAGCCAACAAGCATCCACCTTCCATTTCGCAAGCAGCCGACCAAGGGGTCAGCCACAATATCAGAGTACCTGGCCCTTGCTCTCTCCGGCTTCGGAGGAGAAATCACCTACTCCTCCAAGCCACCCTGGACTCAGCTGCTGACCGTAGTCGACATGGATATGCCACCGAAGGTCAAGGACAGACCGCAGCCGGGACCAACGGTCTTCACAGACGCTTCCTCCACGACCTCAACCACAGCAGCAGTGTGGCAGGCAGGAGAGCAATGGCATTGCGTCAAAGCGAGGGACCCCACACTGTCAGTGCAACAGGTGAGGCAGCAGCAGTGGTTTTGGCGTGCGGACTCTTCCAAGACGAACACCTCAACATCGTAACGGACTCTATATTCATGGCAAGGCTCTGCCTAGCCATGGCAGGACCGTCAACATCAGCAGCAGCCCTAATGCTGGAAGAAGCACTCTCCTCGCGACAGGGCACCGTGTCAGTCATTCACATCAACAGCCATGACCCACTCAAAGGTTACTTCCAGATCGGCAACGACAAAGCGGACACCGCAGCGAAAGGTGTCTGGACCTTGCAAAGAGCTCGTCAACTGCATGAGTCGCTCCACATCGGAGTCAAAGCACTGGCGAAGAGATGCGGAATCTCGACGGCGGACGCAAAACATGTGGTAGCCACTTGCCCTCATTGCCAGAAGTCACCCCTTTGGTCCTACGGAGTCAACCCGAGAGGTCTCAAGCCCTCAGAAATCTGGCAGTCGGACTTCACCTGGTGCGAAATACTGAAGCCCCGAGCATGGTTAGCAGTGACAGTGGACACTTATAGCGGAGCGATCGTGGCTACGCAGCACCCCAAAACCAACTCCAAAACCACAATTCAGCACTGGCTGACAGCCATGGCTTGGCTTGGTATCCCCAAGCAGATCAAAATGGACAACGGCTCCCACTTCAAATCCAAACAAGTACAGGAATTTGCCTCGAAATGGGGTATCACGCTAGTGCATGGCATCCCACATAACAGTACCGGGCAGGCCATAGTTGAGAGAGCAAACCAGACCCTGAAAACCAAGATAGAAGTGTTGGCAAAAGCAGAAGGCTTTGCCAATGCCATTCCCCCAGGAGATCAGGCACGTATGCTGGCAACCGCTTTGCTGGCACTGAATCAATTCCCTAGGGGAGATGAAACAAACAGTCCCGTCCAAAAACACTGGGCCACTCGAACACTAGAAGAGGGCCCACAGGTGGTAATCAGAAACGAGCTAGGCGAGTGGGAACGGGGTTGGAGGCTGATGCTCACGGGGCGAGGGTACGCAGCTGTCAAAAAGGACAGCAAAATCAGGTGGTGTCCACTTAAGTCGATTAAACCGGACCTTCATAGCGAGCAGAATGAGACTGACGAGAATTGCGAGTATTTGTTTACAGGACCTGCTCGTGGGACGCCCTCGTGACGCGTACTTCCCGGTTCCAGACGAAAGTGACAGACCACCAAGCCGGCAGACAGCACCCGAGAGACCCGCATGGGGGAGACCCAAGCACCAAGGGTGTTTTTGTGTGATTTTGCTGTTGGGGCTTGTCGTCGGAGGGCAAGCCAGCCCAGACCACTACCCCCATCAGCCCTTCAGGTGGGTCGCGCGACACCTGAGTAGGGGCAAAGCACTCAGAGAAATCACCACACCGAACACCCCATCCTTCGTGCTCCGCAT